GCCTAAATGCCTTTTAAAACTATATAATCCACCCAGGGGAAGCCCCTGAGAAGCTTTCTAATTCTGCTTAATTTTAGATAAAGGATGCTATCTTTCTGGCTACTTGGGCGTTTATCACCTTGATTGGTGTTGCCGCTGGAAGCCCTTATCAGATCTACAAATACACCTGGATGATCCTCAACTGAGCCAGTGATGCTGCCAATGCTTCCACAACTATTGCAACCACCCCCTCCTATTCCCCCCTGATAGTTGACTTATGTGCTTTAGCCTTAGGGGCCTCTCCAGACTAGGGAACCCCTGACCATTTTTCCCCCCAGGAGCTCCCTCTTCCGCTGACCTTATTCTATCCTTAATTAACCCTACTGTTCAGGCCCCTCATCAAGCCAGCCACTCCCTTATAGAGGACAGTTGGGTCTGCTATTCTTCCACCCCTCCCCTTTATCAGGGAATTGCAGGCATTTAATTCCTACCTTGCCTGTTCTACTAGATTGACTATTTAAATTGTCACTTCTACCTTTTCAAAAACTAACCAGATTCATTAAGTCTCAGACTGATGCCATCCTCGAAAAACTGGTTTTGATCCACTACCATTGCCTAGAGGCATTAGATTCTGAGCTGCCTGACGACTATAAAAACCCCTAAAGGACTGGAATTCTCAGGCCTTAAATCCATGGTAAATGCTTCTGCTTTAGCCTTACAGTTCCTTAATAATTCTCGTTATCAGGAATGCTGGATTTGCTTTTCCCCTCAGCCGCCCTTCTATGAGGGCATGCTGACTTTTGAAAATCTTATCTTCACTAATGAGACTTCCTCACTAGGATGGCATTCCGTGAACCAGGAGGGCGTGACCTTAAGCCAGGTCTCAGGCAAAGGCCTCTGTATTAGAGGACCGGAACTTCGTTTCCCAGAACCCTTACAGCCAATATGCAACCAAACTATCATTATTAGCCAGTCATCTACATATATAGCTGCACCTGATGGAACTTGCTTTGCTTGCTCTCTGGGACTCACCACCTTTATTTCCACCTTTCAGTTTCTAGAGAGTAAAGATGATTGCGTTTTGGTACAGTTGTTGCCCCGCCTAACGGTACATGCCCCGGAGGAGCTGCTCCCTAGTTGGGAGGAAAGGCCCCCGTCACAAGAGAGAGCCCATTACAGCCATCACCTTAGCTGTCCTGCTGGGCTTAGGGGCAGCTGGAGCCGGGACAGGATTAGCTTCCCTGATAACTTCCAAACAGCAATATGCACAACTGTCTATGGCAGTGGACATAGATATAAAGGAATTACACACAGGATTACAAAACTTAAAAGACTTATTTGTCTCTCTGTCTGAGGTGGTGTTGCAAAGTAGGAGAGGTCTTGACCTGGTCTTTCTTAAAGAATTCGGCCTCTGTGCAGCTCTTAAAGAGGAATGCTGTTTTTACAAAGATAAAACTGGGTTAGTACAAGATAGTATAGAAAAAAAGAAAGAAAAATCTAGAGGATAGAAAGAAACAAAGAGAACAACAAGAGTCCTGGTATAAAAATTGGTTTTCAACCTCCCCCTGGCTTTCTACTTTGCTACCGTCCCTCCTGGGACCACTTGAGTTTTTTGTATATTTTGGAGATCAGCCCTCTGTCAAATGTGGGGTTGGTGAATATCTTTTCCCAGTCTGTGGGCTGCTGTTTTGTCTTGCTGACTGTGTCCTTTGCCTTACAGAAGCTTCTCAGTTTCAGGAGGTCCCATTTAACAATTGTTGATCTCAGTGTCTGTGCTACTGGTGTTATGTTCAGGAAGTGGTCTCCTGTACCAAATAATTCAAAGGTATTTCCCAGTTTGTCTTCTAATAGGTTCAGTG